AAACCCTAGGTTACAATCTTCTATTTATAACCTATTACCCAACTGGATTTGGGCCTTCAAAATCTCAGCAAGCTTTTCTCCTTGCTGTTACAACTCAGCAACAAACTTCTGCTATAATCAAGGTCTTCAGTCTTCTAGTTCCTAAAATATCTCCATATTTAGAAACAATATTTTCTTCAAATATTCTGATTTATTCTTGATTGATCTTCAGATTCTCCATAAGAAACGCCACATATATTCTCAGAATATTTAAGTACCAGAACTGTAACTGAATTACCAATTCCGTTGGCGTGATGTCAAGTCAGGTGTCATGACATTACATCTAACATGTTGTCCTAGATGTTGAACTTCTTCAACACAACAAATAACCTCTTTCATAGTTTAGATCACTTAACATAGTTAGGTTACAAGTCACAGCTGTTACAAACATTCAACATATAACATAGTTAACTAATATTAACTTAATTTCAGGCGCGATGTCATATGCTGATGTTGTGACATCTTACATAACATGTTGGTCCAGATGTTGAACTTCTTCAACCCAACATATTAAAACAACAGAGGAAATATGGGTAAACTTGCTTTCTTATTTGTTTTACAAATGAAGCCAATTCTCCAGCCAGGGTACTTACAGTTGGTTTTATCTTACCATACATCCTAGTTACTAACATTTGTATAAAGCAATAAAAATGCAGGAAATAAATATCCTACACTATTACAACCATATTGAAAGGCAAGAAAATATAAAGGCAAAAAACAAAATAAAAGAAAGGAAAATGAGCTTTTCGACCCAGGCAGTGGCACCCTTCGACTTGCATTCTGTTGGCCTCCTTCGATTGGGGCTAGCACCAGTGAGGTCATGGCCTTCGATTAGGGGCTGGCACCAGTGAGGTTCTGTCCTTCGATTGGCCTGGAAGTCAGTGTATGGTGAAGCCTTCTGGTTCTGCCTTGTTGCCTTGTTGTCTTCTTCGACTGGAGGTTAAAGCAATGAGGGAATGCCTTTTGACTGAGCCTGGAATCAGTGAAGGCATGCTTTTCGTCTGGGCCTGGAAGTCAACATGGTTTGCCTCCTGGTTGTCTCTTTCGTTTGACCTGGAGAAAGAGGGTAGAAGCCAGAAGCTTCATTTCCCATTTCCTGTTTCCTGTTTCTTTCATTTAAAGCATTAAATGGCAACATGGCTTGAGGCCATGCTAGTATTTGTCTTGCAAACAGTTTAATAGTTAAAGCTAGTTCAGGTAAAAAGAAAGCAAAACAAAAGGGTTAACTCTAAAAAACATGTTAAAAGGGTGGAAACGAAAGGAACAAGGGTATATACATGCTTGAAACGAACGAAAAGATTATTTACATGTTATGCCATGAAATGAAAGGTTAAAGGGTAAGAGTGACTTACCTTGATGGAGGCTTTGAATGGGTGTGGAACCTTGAGTGGAGGCCCAGGATTCTGGATTTGAAAGAGGGGACCAACAGTTGTGCTTGGAATGTTGGATTCGAAGGAAGGAAAGAAACAAGTCTTATGTTTCTTTCCAAATTGGATTCGAAGGATACTGAAGAGTACATGTTCTTCAGAATCGAAGGAAGTAAGTATGTGATTCTGGGTTTGTTCTCACAAGTGTTGAAGGGACTTGAGAGATTTGTTGTGTTTGAGAAAATTTGGGAGATTCGTTCCTCTGGTCCAAAGATCCTCCCTCAGCTTTGCAAAAATTCCTCTATTTATAGAGAAAAAGAATGGACATGTTTTCAATAGCCAGCCTTGCAAAATAATAAAATAATAGGTAACGTGAAAGTACATGTGGGGGGGGGGGCTCTTGGTAGTTGGGGTGCAGAAGATGTGACGTATGCTTTTTGGCGTTGCTTGTGCTCAGACCAAATTCAGATTGAAAGTTGCTTTTGTGGTAAAAGTACTCTTTATGAAAAGAAAAAGTATGTAGCCTTTAACCAAGAATAGTATTATCCAAAAGACAAAGTTTAAAACCCTTGTACAAGCCTCTGATTATGTAAAGATTCAGAAGCAACATAGCCTGGAAAATGAGATTTGGTCTTGAGTCGAATGAAAGAATGAGATCGAAGCGCACTTGTTCGAAGGAAGCCTTTGACTCAGTCGAAGCTTGTGGTCGAAACAAACTTACTCGAAGGAAGCTAATGCCCAGTTGAAGCCTGGATCGAAACAAACATATTGCCCAATCGAGAGCTCGTGTTCGAAGGAAGCATGTTGCCCAATTGAAGCATGTGGGTCGAAACAATCATACAAGGAGTCATTGCCTTTTAGCGTGAGGGGAATTCCTGGCTTCTGAGTCGAAGGGTGTTCCTTCAAGGGAAGCAAGACCTTAGTCGAATCTTATATAAAGATATCTCTTGGCTCAAACGAAACTTGTGAGAGGCAAAGTCTGTAAGAGGCCCTTGGTGCAAGTGGATTCGAAGGAGGTTTCAAATCCAAACGAAGGATGTACCCAAGTTGCATTCGAAGGAGGTTTCAAATCCAAACGAAGGATGTACCTAAACTTGCATTCGAAGGAGGCTTAGAGTCAGTCGAAGGGTGCTGAATTGAAGGAGACATGTTTTCCTCCAAATTTGTCAAAATGTTATTTTTATCTGTTTTCTCCATTTTTGACAGTTTCTTTTTAATTTTGGTATTGGGAAATCCCAATGCACTTGTTCAAGCTTGAACCTTGAAATCCTTGTAAGAAAAGCCTTAAGAATTGAGAGGGCAAATTTTGGGGTACAACAACTGCCCCTGTTCAATCTTCTTAAACCTGAAGAGTTAGATTGGCGAGTTTTGCCATTCGTGACTTGAAGGTGGAAGATGATTGGACACTAGAGTGCCCAGAAATTTGCACTCGGTGACGTGATGGTAGAGGGAATGGGCTTAAAGATGCCATTTGGAGAGGTGATATAATCCTGTTGGAGATGGGCTTGTAGATGCCATCCAAGAATGGCTGTTGAATTGTAATTTGTAAGTTGGAAGAATGAGTATCAGAATTGCGTCCATGTTTGGAGTGTATCTGAGTTGTATCTGAAAGCTGAATCTGAATGAGTATCAGGATGACATCCGTATCTGGAGCGTATCTGAACTGTATCTAGAAGCTGGATTTGAATGAGTATCAGGATGGCATCCGTATATGGAGCGTATCTGAACTGTATCTGAAGGTTGAAATTGAATGAGTATCAGGATGACATCCGTATTTGGAGCGTATTTGAACTGTATCAAAAGGTTGAATCTGAATGAGTATCAGGATGACATCCGTATATGGAGCGTATGTTAACTGTATCAAAAGGTTGAAATTGGATGATTGTCAGAATGGCGTCCGCGTCTGGAGCGTATCTGGAATGTATTCGAATGAGTGACAGAATGACATACGAATCTGGATCGTATCTGGACTGTATTTTGAATGAGTGACAGAATGACATCTGAATCTGGATCGTATTTGGACTGTATTTTGAATGAGTGACAAAATGACATTCAAATCTGGATCGTATCTGGACTGTATTTTGAATGAGTGACAGAATGACATTCGAATCTGGATCGTATATGGACTGTATTTTGAATGAATCTGGAATAAGTATCAGAATGTCAGCCATATCTGGATCGCATCTGAACCGCCTCTAAAAGGGATCTGGAATAAGTATCAGAATGTCAGCCATATCTGGATCGCATCTGAACTGTCTCTAGAAGGGATCTGGAATAAGTATCAGAATGTCAGCCATATCTGGATCGCATCTGAACTGTCTCTAGAAGGAATCTGGAATAAGTATCAAAATGTCAGCCATATCTGGATCGCCTCTGAACTGTCTCTAGAAGGGATCTGGAATAAGTATCAAAATGTCAGCCATATCTGAATCGCATATGGATTGTATTTTGAATGAATCTGAAATAAGTATCAGAATGTCAGCCATATCGGATCGCATCTGAACTTATCTCTATAAGGGATCTGGAATAAGTATCAGAATGTCAGCCATATTTGGATCGCATCTGAAATGTCTCTAGAAGGGATCTGGAATAAATATCAGAATGTCAGCCATATCTGGATCGCATCTGAACTGTGTTTAGAAGGAATCTGGAATACGTATCAGAATGTCAGCCATATCTGGATCGCATCTGAACTGTCTCTAGAAGGGATCTGGAATAAGTATCAGAATGTCAGCCATATCTGGATCGCATCTGAACTGTCTCTAGAAGGAATCTGGAATAAGTATCAGAATGTCAGCCATATTTGGATCGCATCTGAACTGTCTCTAGAAGGGATCTGGAATAAGTATCAGAATGTCAGCCATATCTGGATCGCATCTGAACTGTCTCTAGAAGGAATATGGAATAAGTATCAGAATGTCAGCTATATTTGGATCGCATCTGAACTGTCTCTAGAAGGAATCTGGAATAAGTATCAGAATGTCAGCCATATCTAGATCGCATCTGAACTGGTGTTCTGATTAACATAAAACAAACCAGATCTTTTGTACGAAAGAGTTCCGAAACACATTATTATACAAGCCGTAATACATTTCGTAAGTGTTGCTTATAAAAAAAAAAGAAATTCGTAAGTGTTTCGGTACACTTATATTGTAAAGTTTAAGTTGAAATATTTTTTAAGTGTTCCAGAAATTTTAAAAATACAAATCAAATGACTTTTTTTAAATGTTCTGTTTAAAAAAAATACAAACCAAAAATCTTTTCAAAAGTCTTCTAATATAGATATGTAGGGTGCAATTTTTCCTGAAGTCTCAAATAAATAGTATAAAATTAAATAGTAAATTAGTTAAAAATATACAAGGGTAAAATTGGCATTTTTTAAATATGTAGGGGTATAAAGATAAATTTAAGGGTACAAGGTAAAACTTTGATAAAAATAAACGGACCAACAAATTTTGAATCCCAATAACAGTCCAATAAAAGTAGGCCCAGAAACCCAATTCTGTTGGATACTAAACCCTAAAAAAAGTGAGACTATATAAACGTTATCATCACCATAGTTGTAAATCCAGAGAGAATTGAAGAAGCCGCAAAATGCAGATTTTCGTGAAAACCCTAACCGGGAAAACCATCACCCTCGAGGTCGAGAGCAGCGATACCATCGACAATGTCAAGACCAAGATTCAAGACAAAGAAGGTAACATCACAAAACCCTAATCATCCTTGAAATCGCTTTTTCATAACCTAATTTGTAGATAATCAAAAGCGCTTTTGGTTCTAAATAATCAGGTATCCCTCCGGATCAGCAGCGTTTGATTTTCGCCGGTAAGCAGCTTGAAGATGGACGCACCTTGGCCGATTACAATATCCAGAAGGAATCTACTCTTCATCTTGTTCTCAGGCTTCGTGGTGGAATCATTGAACCTTCTTTGATGGCTTTGGCGAGGAAATACAATCAAGACAAAACCATTTGCCGCAAGTATGATTCGACTTTTTTATCTAATTTTTGTTATTTTTAGTTATTGATTTTGTTAGGGTTATGATTTTGGGACTATAACTTAGCCTCTTTTGGTTTTGATTGTGCAATTGGGGTTATAATTGTTCCCTATAGTGATTTCCATTTCTTACTTTATCAACTGGATTTGGTTATTTCAGTTGATTTTCTCGAATTGGTACATTTTTGCATTGATTAATTTACTTAGGGTTCATTACATTGTTCAATTGTTTAGGTTGTTTTCCTGAGTTAATTTTGATTTTGTTATGTAGATGCTATGCTCGTCTTCATCCTAGGGCTGTTAACTGCCGCAAGAAGAAGTGTGGACACAGCAATCAAGTAAGTCTTAGCTAAAATATTAGCTTATGTTTCTTTGGTCTGTATTGCTGTTATTTGAAATGATATATTGTGCTGATTTGTTTTGTTTTTTCTGTTTATTTGTTGCAGTTGAGGCCAAAGAAGAAGATCAAGTAGATTCTGGTTGATATTGTTTCTTTTTTGTTGTTTGTTCTGAGATACTTTTTGTTATTTTGGTTGTTAATTCTCTCCTCACTGAAGATTTAGTTTACTTAATGTTGAATGTTGTTGGGGTTTATTATGGTATAATCATTGTGTTATATTTCCTCCCTCATGATTTTTTTCCTTTCAGTTATTTTCAAAAATGAAATTGCTTGTTTAAGTAATGTCATGGCCATTGCTTTTAGTTTTGTTTTAAAAAATGGTTACAGATGCGCTGCTGTTTATGTAATTGTTTAGTGATTTCGTTCTGTTGTGTGGCCATTAAAGTCGTTACATTTGTTATTTGAATTCTATATGATTTGATTATGATCTGTGTGCCAGTAACAGTTTTGATAAAAATGTAACAACATTTATATGATCTTTCAAAAATTTTGCAGGCTTGATGTAATTTTGAAAAGTATGTTTTGGTTTTAACCCCTTATAATTTGAACACATACCTTCTGTTGAATAAAGGCTCTGACTTAGTTCACAGCTTAAAATGTAATGTCCGTTGCCGGTTTAAAGTTTACCTTAACCTCATTACTAAAACATATGTTATCTTGTATATTGTGTTATTCGTCATCATTCCAGTTGTGTATGTTTACTGCGTCTTTGGATCGAGATAGTCATAATTTACCGAAGTGATTTTTAATGTCCTAAATTCTAGGATTGTATAGACAGACAGACGCATATATCTGGGAATGTGTTGTCTTCAGTTTTGTCATTTTGATTGCATTCTACCAAATCATTAATCCAAATCAGGGACATGTATCAAACCAAATCATTCTTTTAATTTTAAAAATATTAATATGGTTATAATTCTATTGGATAGAGGTGTGAAATAAATTTGTCAGAATGTTTATTCTATTATGATGGTATAAAATAAATTTACCCTAAAAGTATACTACCTTTTTCCTCTTATTTTTAACGATAACTTTAAGTTTGTTTCACGTAAGTTTTTCTCCAATTTTTAAGCATGTTCAAAGTCTAATAATTTTTATACATTACACACTTATTTGTTGTGGAAGCTGAAATGCAAGAAAGAGGCTGGAACATGTTGAATATCAAGTTGATTTTAAACTATGTTGAATATCAAGTTGATTTTAAACTATATTGAATATCAAGTTGATTTTAAACTACTCTTTCTTTTACAATGTGGATATCAAGTTCTATATGATTGGTGCGAGCATGAAGAATGAGATTGTGAGATAACACGACAATCACTCAAATTATCAAACATGAAATTTTGGTAGTTAGATCTCAGATGTCCTAAGAGATGTCTGAGACACTGATCTCTGAATAGTGAACAATGAAAAAAAATTAATAGTGCAGCAAGTAAAAGGAATGCCTATAATTGTTAATCCAGTTCGGTGTACAATAACACCTACATCTAGGGGCTACCAAGTCAAGAAGGAAATTCACTAAATATTATCAATTTGAAACTAAACTCTCCCGTTTACAAATTTAATCACTACCCGTACTATATTTCTACCTAAGACACACCTAAGTATGAGATCCCTTTCACTTCCCTTACAATCACAAGCAGTGACAAGTGATTCACAATTACAACTCAACTAACAGTCCAACTCAAGCATCAAACAATATAAGAGTGGATCATAATAAACAACGAATAGACGAAGCCTTAATAATTGACACTTTTATATATCTGGCTCGTATCTTCTTTAGGTACATAGTCTTCTTTTTATAATATTTTTCTCGGCTGGACTGGGCTTCAAAAACACAGCAAAGAGACTGCACAAAGTCTACAAAAACTTCTCCATGAAAATAGGTCTTCAATCATAATTTTTCTAAAATGTCTCAACATTTTGAAAACTTGAATAACTTGAGTACCAATATATATCTCTGATTTCTCAACCTTGGACGTCGTGTATAATTACTAAATATTTCCAAAATATTTAACATTTGTAACAAACTAACAGAATCTAAAAGTCCAACTGTAACATACACGATGTCGAATGAATAAGATAGGAAATCTTGTTCAACATGTTTTCTATGGAAGTTAGAACACCCTAATTAACATGTTACTGCCTAATTTGTTTTACTAAAATTAATTTCAATCATAAAATAGAGAATTGTCATATTTCAACCATAGTAACTCAAAGGTGGTGTGAGCCAATGCACGATACTCAACTTCTATTCTTGATGTAGCAACTAGGTTTTTCTTTTTAGAACTTCATGCCATAAGATTTTGTCTAAAGAAAATACAAGAACCTAAAGTAGACCTACGATCATATATTAAAATAGCCCATGCAAAGTCACTATAGGCTCTTGGAGAGAACTTGTGAGCTCAAGTGGAAGAAGAAAAATTTAAGCAATGATAGATAGTTCCACTTAGGTACCTTAGTATTCTTCTCAGTAGATACCAATGAGTACCAAGAGAAGATCACATTAACTGGCAGTATTTATTCACACTATGAGAAATATTTGGCCTATTTAGTGTCTCATATTGGACGACACCATCTATGGACTTGTACAACCGTGGATCGAAGAATGTTTGAGAGCCGTGTCTGCTGAGCTTATGGGTGCCTAAAATGGGTGTTAGAAATCCATTAGTTTTCACTCATTTTTGCTCTAGAAATCAAGTCTTTGATGTATTTTGATTGAGTACGATGAATTGATCAATTAGTCCGAGTTTTGATTTCTATTCCCATGAGATGCTCAGGCTTATCAAGTCTTTTTTGAGAAAATGTTTCATTCAACTTATTGATGAGACTATGAACTAGATCAGAGGCATAACCTGTTATAAATATGTCATCAACATACACAAGTTCATATAGGGTCACACCTTGTTTACAATATACAATTAGAGAGTGATCAAACCTTGAGTGAGAAAACCAAATTGGACTAGAGCTTGAGCCCATAAAGAGCTTTATTCAGTTTTCATTCAAGAGCATTGTCTTGATGAACAAAGGCTAATGGTTGAACCACATACACTTTTCTTGAAGAATGCCATTAAAAAAGACATTATTGATGTCTATTTGTTGAATATCCCATTCGTAAGTAATATCTAAATTGAGTATGATCCTGATTGTTGTTGGTTTTATCACTGGAGATAATGTTTCATTTAAATCAAATCCATGTTGTTGGTTTTATCACTGAAGAGAATGCTTCATTTAAATCAAATACATGTTGTTGGTGATATAACTTAGCTACCAATATTTCTTTGTATTTGTTTATGATTTCATCATGATTTTCGTTGATCCAAAATACCCATTTGCAACCCGCTGATTTTCTTGAGGTGGTAAGTTTGCGAGGGTCCATGTTTGATTGGCTAATAATGCACCATGTTCTAAATTTAGGGTTTGTGACCACTAAGGTTTCAGTAGTTTATGTTTAATGCTAATTGGTTCAGTGTAAGCAGGGAACACTTTTGGTTTTGATTTTACTATTTTTGCTTGAGTCAACATGGTATCATAATTTTGTAAAAGAGTTTGAGTTGGGTTATTGATGTGAAATGATAGGGATAAATACGTATCATTCATACTTACTAGGATTCTTAATGAGTTGGTATCTTGAGGACAATTGACTGATCATTGTGATACATTTGGCATATTTGTATCTTATGGATAATGTGCAAGCCATGGTTTTGTATAGATGATGAAAGAGACATTCATCTTTTGCTAGCCCTCAAGTCAGACATCATGGGTCCTGAACCCAGTAGGTAGTTCAAGTTTCACAAGGTCAAAGGACACCATATGAAAGACTGCTACCAACTCAAGAAGGAGATATCATGCCTCATACAAGAGGGCCACTTGAAGAAATATGTTCACATGCACCACAAGAGGGGGTGAAGACGATCCCATGCGACACACCCTTAACACCATAGTAGGAGGATTCACCAAAGGAGGGGAGACTATCACTGCCCACATAAGGTACACACGCCAAATTCTGACCATCGAGGGCCTATGAGCCCTGACTATGGCAAGAAAGGAACCCTAGAGTCTAAGATCACTTTCTATAAGAGGGATAAAATGGGCATTCATTCGCATGAAAACAACCTCATGGTCATAACTGTAAGATGTAATGGTTGGGAGATTAAGAAAGTACTTATTGATCAAGTAAGCTCTGCAAACATCCTTTATTGGAACACTTTCGAAAGACTCAACCTGAATTTGGATTACCACAGATCATTCTAAGGCTTGGTGGTAGGGTTCTCAGGAAAACAAGTATAAGTAAATGGTTATATTGCCCTAAAGACCATTTTTGGAGTTGAGGATAGTGTGAGGCTGTTAAAGGTAATGTATCTTTTTATAAATGCACTTTCTTCATATAACATGATTATAAGACGACTTGCTTTGAACCAGATTGGAGCCACCTATCCATGCTATATATGTACATGAAATACTCACTTTTCAATGGACGAATTAGGGTTATCTAGGGGTATCAAAAGATCACCAAGAGTTATTACCTAGACATTGTGAAGCAGAAGAGGGAGGCTATGGTCGTGTCCCCATGCCCAATAACAAGGCGCACATGAGGTGAACATTGTAGACTTGAAGCTGGAAGTAGAACCACAAGAGATGACTCTAGAGGAAAATGATTTGGCCGCCCTATGCAAAGGAGAATTAAGGTGGCAAATGAAGAGACCAGTTAGAAACTATTAATTACTTTAAACGTTATTCCATGTTTAGTTTAGTTTAATTTTCTATTTGGATTGATTAAGGCGAGATACCATCTTAGTTGTGTGTATGGTTTATTTTTTACGACATTCTTTATTTTGTGTTGGGGGCACTCTTTTCCTTTGAGTTATTAGTGATGCGCTGAAGTTTTTAATGAGGCATCTCACATTATTATATAAACTCTGGAACATTATTGTTTCATTTTTGCAGGAATTGAGGAATTGAGTGGAGAATCTTAACTTCCCCAAGAGGAAATAACTTATGTTAGATCCTCATAGAGGAATCCTTACTGCCCGTAGAGGCAATCACTTATGTTGGATCCTCATGGAGTAATTA